TTTTTTTTAAATCTATTTTTTTATATATTTTCCCTTTAATTACTTAAAATGTAAGAATATCATTTTTACTTTTAAATACTAATTAATTACAAAAAAGTATACAAGGGAAAAAACAAGGTTAAAACTCCATTTTGGTCCCTGAACTATTGACAGACCCTCGATTTGGTCCCTAAACTAAAACAATCTTTGATTTGGTCCCTACTGTTTATCATTTTGACCTAATTTGGTCCTTTCATTAAAAATCTCATTACGTGTGCTGTTAATTCACTGTTATGAGATGACGTGAAAAAATATTAATACACGTGGCAAAAAAATAATAACATAAAGATAATAAAACTTAAAAAAAAAAATTCTTTGTTTTTTCTTTTCCCTCCTCTTTCCTTTTCTCTTTACCCTTCCCCCTTAGAACCCATCGAACCCAGCAGCCACCGCTAGGTTCGTTCAAACCCAAGCGCAAGGTTCTTTCAAACCCAGTGCTAGGTTCAAAAAAATTTTTTGTTTTTTTTTTTTTTCATGGGTTTAGTTGTTTGATGATGAAAAAGAATTGATTGATGAAGAATGAAATTCCATTTCATTGAATTAATTGTTTGACTCAGAAAAATGATGATAAAAGTTGTCTCAGAGGAGGCAAAGAGAGGGAAAAAGAAGGATGAATGAAGAAGATTCGAGAAAGAGGATGCTAGAGGAAGAAGATGAGGATAAAATTGTAATTTTGGTGGGTTACATGGCATGAATATAACCTGTTATGTTGCCATGTCATCATTTTAATATGATGTGTCTAAAATTTTTGCCATATCATTAACTCACTGTGAGTTAACGGTGGATATTTAATTGAAGGACCAAATCGAGGTTAAAATGGTAAATTGTAAGGACTAAATCAGGAATTTTTTTAGTTCAAGGACCAAATTGAGGGTCGTATAATAGTTTAGGGACCGAAATAAGATTTTAACCAAAAAAAATATGGATAAGATATGAAAAATTGAAGTATATATCATGAATATTACATTAATTAAACTACATGGTTTAAGTATAATAAAACCAATGCAATAGAAGACATGAAGCAAAGAAATTAACAACAAAAATAAACAAAGAATGTGATTGTAGGAAAGTCGTGAACCTTGCGTGTTTAGAGTGCTCGGGCTTTTACAATGTCTAGGATCATTTCGCTAGGTTTTTACAAAGAAATATTCTCGCTGTTACTGTTACCATGTCAGAGTGGCAATGAGATATCTTATATATCATTTACAATCTTATGAAATATTATTTTTAATTTTGTATTTTTAAAATATAAATAAA